AAGACCCCAACTCGAACAAACAGCAAGCTTCCCCTTCCAATGTTCAAGAGCTCATACCTAGCAACGTGTAATGGAGGTAGGGACTTAACCAAGGCAGAATCTTGCGCATGCAAACAAAAAAATCCAATGAGAACCGATTTATGGGAAGAGGAATTAGGAGAAGAGAAAATGGCTCACCTCCTTATGGTGGACTTTCGGCTGAACAAAGAACAAAGGAGAAGATGTTGAATTACTTTCGTCCCTTGCTAATGGAGCTCACGGTTTCTGGCAAGAAAAGTTGGGAAAAATGTAAGATTATACTAACAACTAGGTTGGTGGTGTTCTATGGAGATTGAAAGCAAGAATGGAGAGGATAGTGTGTAATTTTTCTTGAGGTCTTTTACTCCACACAGCTCACGATTTTAGGGAGGAAATGAGGGGATTGAAAGGCTAAGTTTTGTTCTTGTTTCTACAAGATAAGTCTTCAGCTCATTATCCTACATAACCAGCGCCTAGGGGGAAAGGATGGAGGTTATAAAGTTGATTTAAAAGCTAACAAAAATCAGAAAAGTAGCTGGGCTTTCTCCCTTTTCAGCACACGAAAGGGTGTAAATGGGTGAGGGATTTCTACCCAATGGAATGACATGCAAGCTGCTCACACTTCTCCCATTGGTTGCATGTAATAAAACTGAATGGGCTTGGCTAAAGCAACAAGTCATCAGAATTTTTGTCTACCCTATGCGCATAGAGGGATACCAAGGTGGGAGATGTTTTGCCATGTGTTAATACCCAACCATTGCATGGCAACATTGAGGATTCATTAAGGATAAGATATGAGTGAGATAAGAGATTAGGGCTGAACCAAGTCCCCCTTTAAGGTCTTTGGGCCGTCGGCCAACACAAGGATTAGGTCCAAAATTACAAGTCCAATGGTTCTTCCATCTAAGAATTACCCATGCCTTATTATTTTATGTACTCTCTAATTATTTACTAAAGAGTTTATTCCTTTAATTAAAATTAATCACATACTTATAACCAATATTCAAATTCCTAAAGTATTCCTACTTATCCTTAATAACATGCATGCACAAAAATTAAATTTCCTAACTCGCATTTATTTCATCCTAATCATATATATATATATATATATATATATATATATATATATATATATATATTTCGAGTTCAAAACATGAATTAACGTCACTAGTGGAAGTTTATATACGTTCCTAATTTTTACGGGATGTTACACTCTCCCCACCAAAAATAGAATTTTGTCCGCAAAATTAGACTTACTTATTTAATTAAAAAGTTCTGGGTACCAATTCTGGATGTCATCTTCACGCTCCCAAGTGGCTTCATACGCCGATTTATTGTTCCACAACACTTTCACCAACGGTATCTCCTTGGAACGAAGTTGTTTAACTGACTTCTCGAGGATTTGGAATGGTTGAACAACATACATCAGGTTTTCCCCTAATTGCACTTCTTCTGGCTGTAATACATGGGAGGGATCAGAGAGATATCTTCACAACTGCGACACATGAAATACGTTGTGAATTCCCGACAAATTAGACGGTAACGCCAACCGATAAGCTGATTCTCCAATCCTATCCAAGATAAGATATGGTCCCAAGTACCGCGGACTCAACTTCTTCACTCCCATTCTCCTGCCGAGTCCAGATGTGGGAGTGATTCTCAAAAACACGTGGTCTCCCACTTCAAAAGATAAGGATTTATGACGATTGTCATAGTAACTTTTATGTCTCGCCTGGGCCCTCTGCATATTTTCTTTGATCCTCTGTACCTGCTCTGAAGTTTCTTGAATTATGTCGGGCCCCAAAATACTTCGCTCACCGACCTCAACCCAACATAACGGGGATCTGCATTTCCTCTCGTACAATGCTTCATACGGTGTCATTCTGATGTTGGAATGATAACTGTTATTGTACGCAAATTCCACCAAAGGAAGGTACTTATCCCAACTGCTCCTTGATCCAAAATACAAGCTCGAAACATGTCCTCTAGAACCTGAATAGTGCGTTTAGTATGACCATCGGTTTGCGGATGATAAGCAGTGCTCAACCTCAAATGGGTTCCGAGAGCTCGCTGAAAAGACTCCCAGAACTTAGAGGTGAACTTGGGATCACGGTCACTCACAATATTGGTGGGAACTCCATGCAACTTCACAATCTCCCGAAGATAAATTCGGGCCAGCTTCTCTACATTATACGTTGTTCGGACACTCAGGAAATGAGCTGATTTTGTAAATCAATCAACAATTACCCAGATGGCATCAAATCCTTCTCGTGTCCGAGGAAGTCCGACTACAAAGTCCATGGCAATACTATCCCATTTCCATTCAGGAATCTCCAGAGGTTGAAGAAGTCCCGAAGGTTTTTGATGTTCATACTTCACCTTCTGACACGTTAAACACCGAGCTACATACTCCACAATATCACGTTTCATAACCGGCCACCAAAACGAAGTCTTCAAGTCATGATACATTTTAGTTGATCCAGGATGAACGGTATAATTACCTTTATGGGCTTCCTGCAAAACTTCCTGCCTCAGTTCTTCATTCGGCACTACTAACCTACCTTGGAATCTCGACATTTCATTTTCATCCCAAACTACATCTTGGAAACCAGCCAAATTATGGACTAGTTCCTCATCCCTTTGAGCCCTCTTGATTCTACGGAGTAACTCATTCTCTATTTTTACACTGCCCAACCTTATACCATGCCTTCTTCTGACAACAGACAAGTTCATATCTCAAAAAGTTTCAAGTAGTTTAAGATCTTCCATCATCAGAGTTACAGTGTGGAGAGTCTTCCGACTCAAAGCGTCGGCTACAACATTTGCCTTGCCTGGGTGATATTTAAGTTCAAACTCATAATCTTTCAAGAATTCCATCCACCGTCGTTGCCTCATGTTTAGCTCCTTCTGATCAAACAAGTACTTCAGACTCTTATGATCGCTGAAAACATCAAGCTGTGAGCCATACAGATAATGTCTCCAATTTTTAGTGCGAACACTATGGCTGCTAACTCCAGGTCATGAGTAGGATAATTTTTCTCGTGAGGCTTTAATTGTCGTGAGGCATAAGCTACGACCATACGATCTTGCATCAACACACATCCGAGTCCTTTCAGAGTTGCATCACAGTACACTTCAAGCTTTCTAGTGAGGTCTGGAATAGTAAGCACCAGAGCACTTGTCAATATACCTTTTAGCTCCAAGAAACATTCTTCACAAGCATCAGTCCACTCAAAAGGCATACCCTTCAGAGTGAGACGAGTAAAAGGCTGCACTAACTGAGAGAAATTCTGGATAAATCTATGATAATAGCCTGCAAGCCCCAAGAAACTCCGCACTTCAGTGACAGTCTTAAGTCGTTCCCAATTCATTACTGCTTCAACCTTGCTGGGATCCGCAGCAATACCTTCTGCTGAAATTATATGGCCCAAGAACTGGACTTCACTTAGCCAGAACTCACACTTCAACCATTTGGCATACAATTGCTTCTCCTTAAGGATCTATAAAACTATCCTCAAATGTTCCGCATGCAATTCTACAATGATAAAGTAAATCAGCATGTCATCGATAAATACAATAACAAACTGATCCAAGAATGGGCGGAAGATACGGTTCATATAATCCATGAGTACCGCCGGAGCATTAGTAAGCCCGAACGGAATCACCTGATACTCATAGTGCTCATATCGTGTCCTAAAAGCTGTTTTCGGAATATCCTCCAGTTTGACCCGGATTTGATGGTATCCAGATCGCAAGTCTATTTTGGAAAATACCCTGGTACCTCTCAACTGATCCATCAGATCATCGATCCTAGGAAGCGGATACTTATTCTTCACTGTCACTTTGTTCAGTTAACGGTAATCCATACACAAACACAGACTACCATCCTTCTTCTTAATAAGAATGGCTGGAGCACCCCACTGAGAAGTACTGGGTCCGATAAATTCCTTTGACAGTAGCTCTTCTATTTGCTTCTTCAGCTCCCGAAGTTCCAAAGGTGCCATATGATACGGAGCAATGGAAATAGGTCCAACTCCAGGAAGAAGTTCAATGGGAAACTCTATTTCCCGATGAGGAGGTAGTCGAGGAATTTCGTCAGGAAACACCTCCTTGAATTCATTAACAACAGGGACATTTTGATGTTGGGTATCAACAGTATTTTCAGACTCAATTAGCAACAAGTACCCTTCAGCTCTCCGTAGGAGCTCTTTCCTAACTTGCAATAAAGAAATAATAGAAAAGAACTAGGAGTTACCATCTTTAGAAGGAACGATGACCTTTCCAGCTTGACAATCCAAGGTCATTGCATTTTCTGCCAACCAGTCTATACCGATAATCGCTTCGAGATTGAATACTGGTAGAACCACTAAATTCACCGTGTAAGTATTCCGTTCAAATTGCAGAATACAACCCCTGCAGATTTCTGATGCAGTACAAGATCCCCCAGTAGGAGTACTAATTTGCAACTCATATGGTAAAGGAGCCGGGGTGATACCTATTCTCATTGCAGTGTGCTTTGCAATAAAAGAACCTGATGCTCCAGAATAAAAAATAACAAAAAGAGGATAACCATTAAGAATTACATTACCTCAGATAAGATTCGGATATTTCTGAGCTTCATTTTCCTCAAGGGTGAACACTCGAGCTTGAGTACGAGGCTGATTAGCATTCTGTGGGCAATCAGAAACAAAGTGTCCCGACTGACCACACCTGTAGCATACATTGCTTCCACGTCGGCAGATTCCAGCATGATTCTTTCCACAAGTAGCACAAGCATTGGGACCCTGTCGTCCGGCTGAAGATTGTCCAGGAGCATTATTCCTCTTGAAGTTTCCAGTCCGAGCTTGCAACTGCGGACCCTTGCCTCTATTCATTTCGGTAATCTTTCTGAAGAACCGACCCACTTTACTTCCTCCTTGTGATTGCATTGGCTGTTTAGACAGATTCCTAGCTTCATTTATAATTTCCTCCGCTTGCCGACTCTAATTAATCAATTCAGGTAGAGTACGATTTGTTGTAGTCAACATAAGCTTGCGGATCTCCGGGTGTAGTCCACTTTCATATTTCTCCACCTGCCACTCTTCATCATAGATGTTCCGATCGAAATTGGCATATTCCATCAGCTGCCCAAACATAGCAATATATTCATTGACAGTCATATTATTCGGTCGCAGTGACAGTAACTCAGTGTGTTTCATCCTCCTCATAGCCTTAGGAAAAAACTTGTCTAGAAAAACCCGTCTGAACACTGCCCAAGTTAGATCAACATTTTGAGCTCGAAGCAAAGCCCTCACACTGGTCCACCAAGTCAAAGCTTCACCAATCAGCTGATATGAGGCATAGTCAACCTTCTGAGCTTCAGGGCATCCCATCTGGTCAAATATGTGCTCAATCATCTGCAACCATCTTGCTGCAGTCTCGGGGTTATCCCCACCTTCAAATGTAGGAGGCTGAAAATTTCGAAAATCTTTCAACCTTCGCCTGGCAATTTCCTCATCATTGTCCTGCATCTGGGGTTGGTTCGGATTCTGATGCCGATATTCTCTCCACTCTTGACTCATGTTCTGGACAAAAGTGGCCAACCCCCCAACAGTAGCGATAAGGTCGTCAGCTGCATTACTAGGTCTTCCCTGAGAAGAACCTCGGGTACCTGCCATGTTTTTGCACTCACAATACCACGAAATGAGCTGATCAGACTCACTGCAAGCTATTCATGATAGCAATCCCACGTAGGTACTCGAGCTCAAGTCAGATAAGTTAACAATGCATCTGTCCCTATCACGGCATGTTTCTAACAGTCTACTTACAACAATTGCTATATCTCAAACAATTAAACATTTTATCACACCGCAAACAACAATTTATTTAACAGTCAATTACAATCAGCAGGCAGTTCAACAAACAGCAAACATTTCAACAAGTAAACAGACACCATGAACCAAAACTGCTCTGATACCATTTAGTGTGACACCTTCCCTTGTATGCATCCAAGGGAGATGTTTGCTAAGCGGATTAGAGTTCTATGGTCATTGCTTAAATACTGAAGATGCATTTTTAAGTAGTTAATTAAACTCTTAATTTGAAATCTGGATGCTTACGAAAATCAGAGTGGAACTTTACAAAATACATGGTTTGTTGAAATAATAATTTTCTTGAAAAACCTGTCTGTCTTGTAAAAATTGTGATAAATCGAGCTTTTAAAATTTTATTGTAAAGTTTATATAATCTGAAACTAGACATCTGGGGCTTCGCGTGCATATAAATTATAAGTGAATCGGAGGTCTGTTGCCCCACGAAACAGAACTCGCAAAGTGCTCGCAAAACAGTTCATAAATCAGCACTCAAAACGTTCAGAAATTGATTTTTCGCAAAACGCAACCCAAATCTTAGGAATTACAAGCTGACCATAAAATATTAAAAACATCACGTGAAAACGTGTTTCCAACAGTAGTTCATCCTTCCAAAATATTACAACATTATACTAAAGTCAGCCAATATCCAACAGACAAACAGTCAACAGCAGAAATTCCAAAAAGCGGCAGTAAATAGCAAATTTCCAAATAACAACGTCTTCATATGCTTTTTCGTCTTCCTGCAATTTTATATAAATTGAGCCCTAAATGGGTGAGAAAAATCCCAGTAGTGTGATCGCAAAACCAGTAACGCAATAGTATTAAACTAGGCACATAACTCCAAAACAGTCGCATCAACATTTAGATTTCCGTCAAAACTAACATAACATCTGAGTGCGTATATAACGCCATAGTAAGGTACGTTCGTAGCACTAAAGTGCACGTACTACCATCATGCACAGTGGAGATTCCATATTGGCTCCATCAAAGGTGAATTCCACTGTGACCTATGCGAACTGAAGACAAGTGTCCCATACGCTGGTACCGGAGGGGTGCCTATATGATGCGTGCTCAGACAAATGATTCTTTTCATAAATATTCTTAGTTCTAAGAGTAGCATAAAATTCGTGCATGTATGCCATGATATGCTTCGCACACACAAAGAAAACAGATGAATTATAAAGTGCATATGCATAACATAGATCATCATCCGAATGGCTTATAGTTCATGTATTTTTAATACCAAGCTGCCAAATAACAGTTAATTCCCAAAGCAGAATTTCCATCACATCATGTCCAAGGCAGAATACAAATAACATATAACAGCATACGAGTTCAAAGTACATGTGAGCAAAAATTCACAATTCCATACTCTAGCTAATAGTCACATTAGGCCTCGCCACCGAACACTTACCTCGCGTGCCACAAATATTACCAAACAGCAGCAATAATCAATCAACACTCAAGAGTTATGCACACCTAAGCAAAAAATATTACAAGTCAAAATCGTTCGTCACATTATTCCCTATACGCAGCAGGCATTTTTATTCCCTTTTTCCCTTAACTCCCAATTGGATTTTAGGATTCTTTTCTTAATAATTTTCTGACCTTAAATAACTATTACTAACTCGTTAACAGTGAACAAATCCAAGGTTTCTCAACCCAAAACAGAATCGGTTTTCCTCATTAAAAGGTATTAAGGATTTTTTATTCAAATTTCCAACCAAGCTACCTATGGTGCGCTACAAGGAACCTAAAGCATGCTGTCAACTTAAATTAAATTCAAGTAACTTAATACAGTAGCATATTCATCACTCTACATCTCATTTTAATTTATCAAACAACAATCTCACCATGGAGACTTTATTCCAAGCTCCAAAAACCAATCTTTGTGCTACAAAGCACTAAGCCCAAATCGGTTCCAAAGGGCATAATTTAGGAGGAATTAAATAGAAAAAATCTATCTTTCAATAAGCCCTAAAGTCGAACAACTAGAAGCACAAGAGGATTTGAGGTTACTTACGAATTCTTGTCTACACACCCAAGACCCCAACTCAAACTAACAGCAAGCTTCCCCCTCCAATGTTCAAGAGCTCATACCTAGCAACGTGTAATGGAGGTAGGGACTTAACCAAGGCATAATCTTGCGCATGCAAATAGAAAAATCCAATGAGAACCGATTTATGGGAAGAGATGAATAAGGAGAAAAGAAAATGGCTCACCTCCTTATGGTGGACTTTCGGCTGAACAAAGAACAAAGGAGAAGATGTTGAATTACTTTCGTCCCTTGCTAATGGAGCTCACAGTTTCTGGTTAGAAAAGTAGGGAAAAATGTAAGATTATACTAACAACTAGGTTGGTGGTGTTCTATAGAGATGGTCACGGTTCTAGCAAGAATGGAGAGGATAGTGTGTAATTTTTCTTGAGGTCTTTTACTCCACACAGCTCACGGTTTTAGGGAGGAAAGGAGAGGATTGAAAGGCTAAGTTTTATTCTTGTTTATACAAGATAAATCTTCAGCTCATTATCCTACATAACCAGCGCCTAGGGGGAAAGGATGGAGGTTATAAAGCTGATTTAAAAGCTAACAAAAATCAGAAAAGTAGCTAGGCTTTCTCCCTTTTCAGTGCACGAAAGGGTGTAAATGGGTGAGGGATTTCTACCCTATGGAATGACATGCAAGCTGCTCACACCTCTCCCATTGGTTGCATGTAATAAAACTGAATGGGCTTGGCTAAAGCAACAAGTCATCAGAATTTTTGTCTACCCTATGTGCATAGAGGGATACCAAGGTGGGAGATGTTTTGCCATGTGTTAATACCCAACCAATGCATGGCAACCTTGAGGATTCATTAAGGATAAGATGTGAGTGAGATAAGAGATTAGGGCTGAACCAAGTCCCCCTTTAAGGCCTTTGGGTCGTCGGCCAACACAAGGATTAGGTCCAAAATTACAAGTCCAATGGTTCTTCCATCTAAGAATTACCCATGCCTTATTATGTTATGTACTCTCTAATTATTTACTAAAGAGTTTATTCCTTGAATTAAAATTAATCACATACTTATAACCAATATTCAAATTCCTAAAGTATTCCTACTTGTCCCTAATAACATGCATGCACAAAAATTGAATTTCCTAACTCGCATTTATTCCATCTGAATCATACATATATATATATATATATATATATATATATTTCGAGTTCAAAAAAAGAATTAATGTCACTAGTGGCAGTTTATATACGTTCCTAATTTTTACAGGATGTTACACAAACATTCCCAGATTTGAATATTGCTGTCCTCAGCAATCAATCAGAATAAAACTAAGGGAATAAGGAGTAGGAATTCTTAATTGCATGGAATTTGACAGAAATGATTCAATCAGAGACATGATTACAGAGCATTCAGACTCTAAGGAATGATACATCAATCAACAAGATTGATAATTCATTAGTTAAAAGCTGCAACAAAATTTCTTAAGATCATGAATAAGGAAAATTTCCTGAAACACTCACTCACTAAGAATTCAATTCACTCACACTCAACTGTTTAGAGGGTTGGTGTTTCACTCGTATCCACTGAATCAACGCCACCATAGGCTTGCTTATATTCTCGCTCTTCACAATTATTGTGACACATCTCACAAATCAAGAGGTCCTTCTTAGGGTTATAACTTGGCCTGGCTAAAGGAAGGAAAAATTTAGAGAAAGAGCTGCAAGATTAAAATCCAGATTCAAAGAGGAATAATTGTAATCGTTTACAATTCGTAAACAACTTTCTTTCTTCTTTTCAGTCTATTCTTCTTCTTTTTCTTTTGAACTCTTCTCTTGTTTGTCGTTTTCTTTTCTCAGAACAATTTTTTTTCTTTCTTTTCACTTCTTTTCTTTTTCGCTTTCTGAGTATTTTTCCTTTTCTTTGTTTCTTTCTTTGTTGCTTTCTAACCAACCTTACTTCCTTGGCTTTTGCCTTTTTCCCTGTACTTCCATACATCACAATTTATGTCATCAACAATTAACACATTTTCCTCAATTCAAATCTGAAAATTAATCTCAAATAAGGTGAGGATTTATATGGAAAGTGGCTTATTCATCTTTATAGGTTTTCAAATAATAAACAGGCCTAGGCTCAAAAGGGTTTAACTAAGGAATGTCATCAATGGTTGGCTATTTGGCCATCTAGTTTAAAGAAAGAAAAAGCCTCAATCATATCCATAGAATATATCATATACCAATTCAAGCAGGAAACAAAGCAAGTTCTAGAGTCTTTCATACAATGGGATGCACACTCAATAAAAATTTTCTGTATAGGCTCAAAACCTCACGGCTATGAATGGACAGTAATTTCTCTATTCTTTATCTCAAAAAAATTTATCACTAAAGAGAATATTCAATGAATCATGAAAATCATTACATTGATGCTCATTATGAAAATTAAGAAGGTGCATCATCATGCTCTAAATCAATTACTGATAAAAAAAATTCTGCCATTTTTCCATTTAAAAGAACTGAGTAAAATTTTCAAACTTTTCACAAAAACAATGGCTTTGGGGTTTTCAAAATAAACTAAAAAATTAAAAATTCAATTAAAAAAGATCTAAGCAAAGAAGAAATGATTTGAGATAGTTCCCGGTTTTAGCCGGATATTCTGTGTGTACTCATGAAGTTCCTCCAGCTTACTCAATTATGCTTACATGAACCGCGCGTTCCCCATTCCCAGATTTAAATGTTGTTGTCCTCAGCAACAGATTTTACTCTACAAAGAAAATGCGTAGAAAAATAAAAATAACCAGTCGCGCTCTTGTTGTTT